ACATTCCTAATGTTGGTATATTTTCTAGCTTCTTTAAATTATCAGATTTTTTGAAGACGGCATAAATTGCTAAATGACACCGATACTGACACAGAAATCCGATTTATATTTACATTCTTTGTGGATGTTTTATTGAATTTTCTGTCCTCTCATTTTACACAGATACCTTCATGTCTTTACGTTATCCGCCGAGAACGACCAATAATAAACCAGACACGTATTGATTGGATACCGGCGACATCCTGATAAGGACCTACTGACTGATAACTAGTGCTTATACATCGCATGTAATTTATTTCAGTAATTTTCATCAGTTCTGAGAAACAGACGCACCTTCGTTCAAGAAACTTCCGCTTACAGTTATCAGCTACATACGCAGAATAAATGTCATCTGTATTTGACATTGATAAACTATGTTTGTTTGAGATACTAACTGAACATGACCGGCTTGCATTTCACCCGCCAAGTCAACATTTGTCAATACAAGTAATATCACATTCTCAAATGAGAACAAAGTATACAACAGAACCAACAAGCAAACTAACGAGCATCACAAACGCGTCCAGACTCATATCGCACAAGACAATAAAATATTTCCCATTATAGTGACCAAAATACCATAAGTTTCATTAACATGCATCTTTTGAACTCTTGTGTTACGAGTGTGTCCGTATGTTACGAGACTTCTTGCACGAAAATCGTGATAATTGGAACAGGCCCTTGATATCGAATCAACAAAGACCAAGGGCTAGGGATGCAGGGATGTTACTTTTAAAAAATGAAAAAATTATAATAGCAAAATAGAAAAGACCGAGATAAAAGGCTGATGTAAACAGAGTCTGTTGTGTCTTTCATTTCCAATACTGGTGTTTGTATACGATGGACGTTGCTTATAAATATCTGGTTCAAAAAAAAAAAAAAAAAAAAAAATGCGCCATCAATATAACTGAAAGTGAAAAGAAGAGGTTTTGTGAAGTCTTTGTTACCTATTTTGATAAGTTCTACGATAAATTCAGCCTCCTATGTAAACAATAACAAGTCAGCCAACAGAGGGGCAGTTAGTATCCATAGGTATGTCAGTAGTCTGTTGGAAGATCTTACTATATAAATACAAAGTTACAGTCATGAATATTGGGAGAAATTTGTCAAATTATCATACCGATGACATTCATCCTTTATGTACAATTCCTAGCTTTTTTAACCATTCAGAATTTGTGAAGATAATACGCTTTGCTCAATAACAGACATCATTAACATTACATCACGTTATGTAATACGACATTATACATTTGGCAGACAATTTATAATACACACAAATGCTACAACAAAATATATCGACACTTAAAATTGCGCACGTTGCCCCTTTTGAAAACAACATATTAAATAATATATTCATTTAAAATTAGATAAATAATTCGTTATCGACAATTTGGTACGTCGATTAAAGGAGAAATTCTGATGGTGAAACATTTATATGCCCAAAGTAACGATGTTTAAATGGTCACGCTTCAGAAATCATCTTCTTTCTTGCTAAGTAGATATAGTGCTCTAAAATGTAAATTCATATAAGTATATGATCATATTTCAGAAGCATCCGAGATAATGAAATACAATTAATACAGAGGAAAGAGTTGATATGTTCCCTCTCTACTGTGCCCGTTTTCCCCGTTAATTTCGAACACTTCTTTCAGTAAATAACATTTCACAAGAAGGCGGAGTTTAATCATATAACTTTTGATTTTATGAACAAAACTTCATGTTATATTTTATATATACTCCTCAAACAAACATTAATCTCGTATGCCATTTATCAGATTTATTTCATTTGTTAAGATAACAGAAATCAGTTCTCAGAACTTCTAATTGGCGTTTGTTCACTTTTTGGAATCAGGAATCATCACTTAGGTAATCGACGTCACTCCTTTGAAAATTGAAATATTAAAAAAGCGTCAAATCGTTATCGGCTATGACTTGATGATATTAGTAATTTTGGAAACCAAATACCACACAGGGCCTGCGTTATCTTGATATATCTACTAGATCTGATATATATAGTGTATATATAAAGACCAAAAGATAATAATATTTATCTGGTCTCCTTGGGGCTTGCGTTCTTTGAAAGTTTTAGTTTATAATCTTCTCCAAGACAATCCGAATGAGTTTGGATCATATTTACGGACCTATCGATCGGACATTAACATGAAATTAACCACAATTACCATTATCAGGTCTGGAAATAAACGCATAATGTGCTCTCCTGCAAGTTCATGGAAATGTTATACTACATTGTACATGTGTCCTTGTCATTAATATTGTATGTAAAAGAGCAATATAACTGAATTACCTGCCTAACAAAGAATGCCAGCCTTTGTCTTATGCTGAGGGGATAATCGAAATAGTCAGAATTATGAGGCCATGTTTGCAAAGTTTCTTTAGTTTGCTACATAAAATACTAATTACACTCTTTGCTGTCTCAAAATGACCCTGGTTAATCACACGACAACACCCCAAACAAGCAATCATACAATTATTATGCTTAGTCAAGGACTCTAAGAAAATTGAATCATCGATAATGGTCATCGAATTACTCTTTCATTTATCTTTGTCTTTATCAATGTTTGATATATTGTCGTGTCTGTTAATCCAGATTGTTTACTTTCTCAATTGACATGTGATTCATTCTGTTATGAATATTATAAAAGTAAAAGTGTTTTGAAATGTAATCTACATAATACGTGTAAAAATGTTCATAAACATACCTCATAAAATGCTTCTTTTTCATATGATAATCATCCAAATGTACATGCGGCTACTAACCACAATTCATAATGTAGAGCTATAGTTCTGAGCAGAACAGCTTGGCGAATCCTTGATTGTCTAAAGTGTGATGATTTCAATCTCTCGATTATGGTTTTTCCTTCTCAGTTTAGGAGTAGCAACAACCCTGCAAGCTTAACCTATGGCGTTTATATCTCACAGTTTATTTGACATTCTGTCTGTTTCTATTATCACGATGTTCGTATTGTAACATCGGGTTTCAAAAGATGCAGTCTGATGAAAGTTATGGGGAAGGTCGTCATAAAGATTTTCATTAAGAATAATTGTGCAATATAAAGCTGGACGTGTTTGAGGCTCGTTAGTTTGCCTCTTAGCTCCGTTGTTGCATGCCTTGTTCTCATTTGAGAACATTACATTACTTACTTGGATTGACCAAGGTTTACATGCCGGTGTCATTAATAAAGTAGAAGACGCTTACTATTCCGGATCACATGCTCTTATTATCCTTGAACGTTTTCGGAAGTCTCCGTATGGATCTTTCTTTTCTTCATAGTTTTATTTAATTAAGATTATTTGGTTTTTTCTTGTCTTTTTTTTATCTCTTTGACTTAAACGTTCTTTTAAAAAACAACACCATCGAAACATTTTTGTTTGGACTGTTGTTTGGAGGTATTAATATGTGACATGAACAAACATTAAACTTAATATCAGTTTAAATGGTTCTTGAATATTTACGCTTCTATTCTTGTTATTTATTTAATCGATTTTATTTCCCTAATCATGCCTCTGGATTTCTTCGCTTTAAATCCTTATCATCAACATCATTGTAAAGAAAAACTAACTAAACGATACCGTTATACTATTTTTATACGTGCCTACATGCTATCCATCAATACATTTTTAATTGAAAATATTTTCACGTCCGTGTCTCTTTTACACCTTCTGATGTTATTGATATTGTTAGTGTCCTTACTAAAGTAAATATAACTGTGAGAGTTAAACAAGTTTGTCATTGATATCATTCTTTGATACGTATTTTGTGACTGAAAAGAACGTCAAGGTTTCTTTATTATGGGTTATCATAAATATCTTTCATGAAATCTTTATTTTGTCATGTTTTATTTAATTTGGACCGTTTTTGTAGATAATACGTCAATTCCCGAGTTCAAAAACTTAATAAAAACCATTGTTCAAAAAATACGTTGTATTACTGATATAGATATTACCCGCTAGTGTTTGAAGGAAATCTAGAGGAAAGCATTGTTAGTTATACGCTTGCTACTACAGAAATTGATTTTTCTTTGAAATGAATCAATTAATGATCAAATCACTCTAAAAAAATTGTGCGATAGGAAAAACATAAACAATTCGTGATTTTTCTAATTCATATTTTCCTTTATTTTGATTCAAACAAATACAAAATCATGTCAAGATGCTGTACAGTATTACAAAACATGTTTTACCCTACCAATTATACTTGGTTTCATTCATTTAAAATCATCGGCAATAATGTCCTTTCGGTCAATATCCTGTTCAGTATTGCATTTATCATTAAGTAAATTTGATAAATCTCTTAAAATAAAATATTTACAATACAATACAATGGTAAAGAAGGTGGTATAAATTGTCAGCTTCAATATTTCAAACTGTACGTCATTTCTTATTTCAATTAAATCATATTTGTATAGAAAAATGTTGATCAAATAGGTACTTTACAAGTTAATGTCTAGATTCTTTTTTTCTAGTTCTAAATTAGTTTAATTATTATTCTTTGTAAAATTCTAAATTTCTTTGAATTTATAGCACGTGCTTCTTAATTGTATCACATTATAGAAGTAACAATATTTCGTGCAAAACCTCACATGTTCTTGAATAGAACAATATATTGTATACTTCCCATTGTAGATTGTATTGACAACCGCTTATATCAATCCTTGTCAAATATATGTCCCTATTATACTGAGAATTCCTTAAAAGGACAATTGTTAGACTTTATTGTAAATTTCTTAATTTATTGTGAAATCAAGGATTTATTCGCATAATTAAATAAAAGATAGTGTAGCTATAAAATTTTGTTATAGAGCAGAAAACATGTCTGTCATTGACATATCTGGAAAATTTACATATGCAAATCTATCACAATATAATTACTTTTTTCAATCTTGAAACAAGAATAATTCATACCAGATATTACTCTGAAATAATCACTATTACTTTGAAATCTACAAGTTGGATTGCCTGACGTTGTCAGCTTCATATGCATGATTGTATTGTCCTACTTTAACTTCCTTGTTTTTCTGTTTGGTTTCAAAGAGCCGGACGTTTGTACGTATTGGTTTGTTTGGTCCGATCAGAGATAACACGACTGGTAATACAAACATTCCGTGAAACAGACCAAACAAAATGACAAGCAACATCACACGGAAAAAAGAAATAAAGACGTACGACTCCGATAAGGTTAGCATAATGATTCCTACGATAGACGACACCGCGCTATTGACAATAGGACCTGCAGTAATTTCTAACGCTTTGCATACCCTCGAATTTTTATCAGGACCCTCTGACGTGAGAAAAGCGTGACAGATATGAGCACTGAAATCTACCGAGAAACCAACGCTCATGATCACATGGATCATGGTTATAGAGCTAAGAGAAAGATCCCATAAATGCATAAAACCCAGAACACCGGTGATAATTGATGCGAGGGAAATCGTAATGCAAAATATGAGAAAAGGATTAGGCATCATTAGACATGATACAACAAATACAGCAGCTACAGCAATTCCTACTGTCTGAAGAGTGCTCGGTAAGACAGCGACGTACTGCTCAAAGAATATAAACGCTGAGGAGTAAGCGAAACAAGGGATCTCTGAATTACTTGCTATATCACGCATGCGCAACATCAGCTTCCCTTGTTCATAAGTGTCTTTTATACTTTTGGACATGACATGGAATCGACAGGCGTCTATCCTATTATTTGCACTGTTGAAAACGACATCATTTTGAAAAACAGGCGTGTTATTCAGAAAAAGTTGCAGTCCATTAATAAAGGCTTCTTCTGTAATATTTGTAAAATAATAAGATTGCTTGTATGATTTCAACCAATTTAATTCAAAACTATCCTCAACATTCACCTGCATTCTTGCATCTGTCAGGAGAGTATCTATGTCATCTGAAACACGAATTGAAGAATAATCTTGGTAAGACGGTATCACAAAAGATACTGGAAATTTTGAGGGGAAATAATCAAAGTTCCAATTACTGAACTGATAATAGTAGGAACTCTCTGATACCAAATTCTGTAAAATTAAACCCTGATGCAAACCTGTAACTCCTACCACGGAAAAAATCAGGTATGTCGAGTACAATACAACTGTGATTAACTTAGCAGGCAGATTTACTAACAACCTAGGTATAAACAGACGAGGACCTTTCTCGAATATACTCTCTTGTTCATTTCTTGTTTTAGCTGGGGAACCAGTACAGCATATTCGTTTGGCGAGAGATTCCGATGGATCATTATTCTCATCCGGGAACTTTACAGGAACACATGTGATACAGTGTCTGTTGGCTGCTACTCTTCTCTCTTGTATAACCATACACCCAATAAAGAATGTCATCTGGTTGAAATAGCAAAATCCTACAGCAGTTGCTGAAGAAAAAAACAAAATGACCTTTTAAAGATGTAATTTGAAAATGTTTCGAAAATTACGGTAATCATCATTATATGACCTTTTAATGAACTGGTGAATCTGCATTGAAGTCACATGTTTGTCTTTTCAAAAATGTCAAGTAGGAGAAAATCTTATCTCTCTTTGCCAAAATATTACAGTATTTTAAAATCCTATAATTTCGTTGGTTATACATATTCTTTGTCACGTTATTACGTAAGTAAATCTTCCTAACGAATACCACTAATTCTAAAATCATCTTTACATGTTTATCATTTGGAGTAACCATGAATAAAACGAAAATGAAAACCCTTGGATTATTAAGGAGTTTGCTGTATGGAATATTACAAAAAAAAGCCGTGAGTAGTTAGAAACGCCGATTTAATATGGATATCGTTATAAAATAATTACATATACCTGTAAAGAGGCAAAAATTGCTGACACTTTTGAACACTGATGTGATACCAACGACAAAGGCGATGAAATTTGTGAGAGACGTGATTGTTATTGCAATTCCACTGGTTTTCATGACGTGTCCAATTTTATCCTCTATTTCCGCTGTTGGATCTGCGTCAGCGAGTCCGGACATCATAATGAACATGTCATCCACGCCGATTCCTGAAAGTTCAAAAATCTTTGAAGTTATACGCATGTCAATACATTACTGAGTATAGGTGATATGGTATAATGATATATGCAACAATTAAAGTAAATACTGCTAATTCATGTTTCTTAATGTTGCAACCGCATCAGATAGCGAAAATCATTTTTATGTTTTATTTGATTTATTATTATTTGTTGTCATATGAAAAATTTTTGCGAGTGCAAAATTATTTCGAACTTTAAAAGGATTCATGTAAACATAAAAAAATATACAATTTAACCTTCTTTAACGGTATTTCTGAATTATAAAGGTATTGTCCGAAGCCTGACATCAGAGGGATTAATTAAAAATCATACTCAACCAGACAGAAATTTCTATTCATAAAAAAATAACATAGAACTGGAAGAAACCTAAGTATTACAAATGATATCCAATATCCTTTATTACTGAAAATAATAAAGATATTTCTTTATTTATAATGCTATATTTACCTATTATTAGAAAAGGCATAACTCCGACAATGTTGACAAAATCAACATGACAGGCAGACATGAGCCCAAAAGATCCCAAAATTGCTAAACCTGCTGAAATGACTCCAGCACGGCCAAGATGACCCCGTTGTGACACACAGTTCCCACCTGCAGCAACAAACGATGCATAAGTGATCATCAATGTAAAGGTAAGGGAAAAGTAGGTTACATCTCCACCAGTATTTGCGTCAAGTTCAGAGTTCAAGGTATCTGATATCTGGTACGCCACATCTGAATAATTCAATTCAATATTTTTTGTTGTTTCCAAAAATCGCTTTTCCCATGCTGTTGATAATTCATTGTATGTTCGAGAATCTTGTCGCAAATTAAATCGGAATTTCAAGGCAGCTGCAGCTGTAAGCGATCCGTTGTCGAATGTCGGGGCTCCTATAACAAGATCGTAGTCGTTTTCTTCAAAGATGTCCCTTGTAATGTTGCCATTTTTCAACTTCTCCCAGAAAACAAATTCCAATAGGAAATCGCCATCCACAAAGCATTTTCCACATCGTTTTGCACAGAGATCTTCAAACTGAAGTTTTGTATCATAAATGTCAGTCACAAATATAGCACGTACTATTCTAAAGATTTTCTGGATGTCTTCTTGAAATTCTCTATCCAAGACATTGACTTCTTGTCGAGGTTTAAGAAGCAATTCGCCAAATAACCCAAGGTTATACAAGCTCTGTCGATAAAAATTTGTTCTCGTGGAGTCGGGAAACATCGATACAATTTGGTCGCTGTCCACATCTGCTTGGCTGTTAGTGGGCGTGTAGACCCTCCCTAGATCAGAATCTGATGTTATCCACTGAATATTCACTCCTAACAGTCCGTTCAGCAGGACACAGAAGATGATTGCAGTCCAAGGGTGTCTAGCTATACATTTTCCATACCGCGTAAAAACGCCTGAAAGCTTTTCTTCCACTTTTCTTGACAAATCCATTTGTCACTGTAAAATTGGAAAATTGAAAGATTTTCAAAAGGTACTATTATTTCTTATCGAGAATATGTTTTTATCAAAAAGAAAATGATGCGGAAAATTTATAGAATGCTTAAGACAATTTGGTTAGATTTCATTGGACAATTACGAAAATTATTCTTATGAATAATAAATATTATGAAACTCACAAACGCTAACACTATTTACTTACATTCGGACAAGCGGATCTGGGATCTCTAGCACAGACGTTACGTGGGTAGGTAGAGCTATTGGCTGCGTGTGAGTAATATAGAAACTTATCTGATATCAGTGTTTGCTCTCTGAACCGGGTAGCTCCACCTTTGTATATTTAAATCATACGATTTACAGACCATGGAAAAATGCATAGAAAAGGAGTGTTTCTGTCACTGATGCTTCACGGCATGTCTATGCAGCATACTTTATTTAATCGTAATGATGTATTTGTCTTCATTTATTCTTTAGTTATTTATTAGCCATATTATTATTTTCTTTTGTCATTCTTGCAGTTCTTTGCATATCAAATCAATATTTTTGGCTTTGTTATTTGTTTTGTATTTTTTAATTGATTATTTTTTTTTAATTTCTCTTGTTTTTTTATCATTTTCATACTCTATCTTTTTACGATAATTTCAATTTATTTGCCTGTCTTTATTTATCTTTTTTGTTTATATCAAGTTTTATTTATTGACTATTTATTTGTCTATGATGCAGTAGATTCCTATAAATACTTTGTATACGGAAGATAACTCATCTTAAAATAAATTACCAGTGAACTTCTAAGAGAGGAAGCTTTTGTGAGCTTAATGAGTTATTAAACAAACGTGCATAAAAATGCAATCAAAATCCCTTCGGTATCTTGTACATTGTATCAAAAGGATTGATAAACTTAATATCCTTATTGTTTGTTCTTCTGTAGCATTCTACCACTTAATATTCAAAAAAATATTTTTTCTTTTAGTTTAGCGACCAGCATCCAGACGATTATCAGCTTTGGATTCACAGTTGGCGTCAGGGCTGAAAGAAAAACTCGAGATGATGTAATGTATGGAAAATACTCGGCTTCCACTTAGACGTCCAGGGTACGATTTCCCGAACGGAAAACAAAAAGTGTACAGTCACCTGCCCGACAATGTGGAGTTTCCGCGGATACTCTCGTTTCCTCTAAACAATAATAAATGATTTGTAATAAAATTTCTTGTAAATCAAGACCATTTACAGTTTAAATCTATGGTAAGGAGTATTATGCTTATCTTATCAGATCATACGACTGTTCCGTATTATGTTGATTATCATTTTGTTTGGGTCTTTTTCACAGAGTGTGTGTATTATCAGTCATGTCATCTTGTTACTTACATGTTACTACATTGCTCCATCATGATCTAGAATGATGTCTTACGTCAGAGATTCCGCAAATCAGAAATATCTTGTATAGTTAAACCACTGCCATGGCAGGCTCTTCTATATCAGTAGCTTATCACGATATTTCCCTACAGCAAAACCAACAGAGACAGCATTCCTTCAAGTGTTATCAAAAGCGTGAAAGTTTCAATTTTCCATATTTCCCACTTCTGAAGAGCGATATTCTCGTTTTTCGATTTCTTGGTGTTAACACAACGCAGGGATTCGAGAGTTATAGGTTGAGGAAACTTAAGGGAATATTTATCATCGCCATAATGATCTCATTGATGAATAATTCTAATTTTGATAAGTTTAACATAATGAGATTTGTCGATGATGAAAAAAGCTTACCCTTTCGGAACATTTGGTCGTATTTTCTTTATACTTTTTTACGTATCTTCGTGTGATGCATACTTTTATGTACATTTCATATTTTACGCTCGGTCCATCGAATTTGAGTTTGAATTAAGAAATTGTTGATATGCCGGATTTCTTATGGTTTTATTTGCGTGTCAAGAAGGTAACAACACATCAACTATGAGTGGAAAGCAAAGAAATGGAGGAAAATATAGAAAATGACTATCACAAATTGTGCCGAAAGCAAGGCACAAAATGAACATAAGGTTTATTATCTCCCTCAACCAGAGGAACAGTACATATCACCTATGTCATAGATTGTTTGAATTTGGGTCTTTGTTCAAGTGGTTTGATCTCCCTCATTAAGATGATGTAGTGTGTTTAAGCTCTAAATCACATATGAAATAGCATTTACACAAAACAGGCACATTTAATTATCAATTATCAACGATATATCTTTTTAGCAATAAATACTCATAATGAAGTTCGATAAATCTATATTTGTAATAACATGGTCCAATATGAATATGCTGAATAATACTTCTAACAGCATCATTTGGTCGTCACTGATTAGTGATTGATGCTTGTGACTGAAAGTATTGATATCGCGAAGCATGGTTAAGGGAATCAAAAGTATTGGACAGGTGTCATGAGCTAAATGTAAGTACTTCAACTATATTGATATCGCCAAGTTTGCTATTGTTTGTATAACATATGAATAGCTTTCAAACTGATATTTGAAGACCAATTCATAAATGTTAACATTTGGCAGTTTTTAAAAGAATACCAAAGAAACACATGATAAGAGGTCTAGGTGAAATATTAAAGCATATTTTCAAGATTTTTCTGACGAGGAAATATTCTTTGAAATTGTACGTTATGGTGTAACCTGTTAAAAGGTATTTCTATTTAATGTTTTTAACTCTCTTCACAATTAATCCGTCCCAGCATACTTTAAAGAAAATAGAAATTTAAGAAAATAAAACTGCTGATGATGAGTGAAAATAAACACACGAATTCATTTCATGTGTGTTTGAATTTTCAGCAGATGTGTTTTTCAGCACGTAATATAGGGAAAGTGAATACGTATTTCTGAGTGTGACGCTTCCTGATGAAGAGGAGATCAACATATAGCTCCCACTTTAAAAAAAAAATCGTCACGTGAAGATACATAAAGATAAATCATAACTCTATAAGTCATTAGTCACTTTAACTACTGATAGTCGTGATAGAGCTCATTGTATGATACCAGGTTCAGTTACGGAAGTATCCTAACGAAATGACAGATAACTAACTGACCCAGGCTAATGTAATTATGAAAAAGAATTATGACAGGCTATATAGTGTATAACATACATGTCGGGTATTTTGAGGAAAACTCAAGTGATCGGAAAACACCCAATTTGGGAGATGTACTAAATTTATTTCGTAATTATCATATATCTGATTATTTTACAATAACGTCAAGCACGTATATAAATCATGAACAGTGTCATTATTTGAATAAATTAAAACGTGACATGCAGGTTACGACAAACCTCGGGAAATGAAAGTCCACCGGTGGTGACTACCACCAGGAATCTGGAAAAATGTAAGAAAAGATACACACATGAATAGCACATTTTATTACAAATCTAGAGTTAGATACCGGAGAATCAAATAATTAAACTGCATCTTACAGCAGATTCGCCCCTTTTAGGACTCATCAATGTAAAGACCTAAATTTAGAAGTATTTGTTTTTCGCTTAAAAGATGTTTACTCCACGTGTATACATGTAACAATTTATCAAAAACTGACTGAAACTAGGAAGTTACATTGATACATCTCTTAGGAAACTTAAATCTGTACATGTTTTATCTTGCTTGTAATTTTTAAAACTCAACTCGGGCTGGCTAGGGTGTTTGGTGCATTTCAACGATTTTAATTCAAGACAAGTTTGCAACTATTTTGATATTTTAGTCATTACCCAATGTTGAAATTTGTTTTGTACTATCATAAGGACGTCTTTTCATATTTTTTCTATATCAAAAAACTGGTGTCAGGTAGGTAGCAGGGAATAATTTGCTAGTCCAACTTAATTCATCAAACTGAGATCATTGATGAATGTTCATCTCGGAATTATCCCCAAACATCTATCCTTCGACGATTTCCTAATCCTGGAAAAGCATACACCTTACTAAAATTCAACACATTTCAAAGAATTTAGCTAATTTATCGATATGAATGACCTCATTAAAAATATGGAATCAAGGAGTGTCAATCAGGTAGCTCACAAATATTTACTGATATCTATAGTTCAGTTAAACTAAAAATACACCATTAACTCATATCAACTAATTTGTTTAAAGACCAATGATTCCCATGAAATGCTTTTAAATAGTGTAATAGTCGGTATGAAGTTAATAATTTGAATATATACTGAATATTGTATTTATACAAGTGAAAAGAACGAAAATGGAATATACACTTAATGAAGCTTAACAAATGCCATAAATCTCTTAAATCAAACACAAGGTAACATGTTTCCGTGTGATTTATATCATTCTGATATTATGCTGTACTTTTTACCCGGATGATAACAAAGATAAAGCATAGATCTGACACTCGTATCTGTTTCTGGATTTACCGCCACTAGAACTGTTGCTTCATTTCTGATAAATCAACGAAAAATGTAGCAAGCAAACAAAAGAAAAATGAAAATGAAAGAAAATGGTAAGAATTACATTTAGAAATGAAATCTAACTTTTTATTTAAAACTTAGAACACAAGAATTTTGTTTTATCTTACAATGATGAAAAAAGATATCTTTGTTTTGCTTATACTAAAGAAATGAGTTTGGATCTAAATAATCCCTGATAATACATGAGAGTTTTGTTAAAACTCTGGCATATCAGTTATCACTGGCAAATATGTAACCAGTGGTTACATTTGTTCTGCATCTATGACGCTTAAGATACCGTTCGTATGACTCAGCTGTGAAAAATTGCTACCGCAGTACACTGTGTACCAGGACTTTAATCCTCTTCTCTAATCAAAAGATCAATGAACGTACCTGCATAGTGTCTCTTCACCACACACGTATAGTTAAGGCTTTGCTCTGGTGACGTGTTCGAGTTGTTAAGTGTTCTGGTCTAAGGGAGATAACTTTGTCAGCGAAGCGAAGTGACATATTTGGCCAATTGATTACGAAGAAATTCAATACATTTTATTTTGACTTATAGTTTCT